CATGGATTTGAATCTCAGCTCCACCACCCACGGGTAAGCTTTACTCCTCCCCTTCTCTGGGCCTCGGTTTCCTCACGTGTGAAAGGAGCTTCCTTGCAACCACCTTCACAAGGGAGCGTTGCAGGGACTACACGAACTCAGACGCTTCTTCAGGACTTGACACCCTGGCCGAGGGCGAAGACAATAGACAGTGGCTGCCACTAGTTGTCAACACAACTCCAGGCGGAAGGCCTGGCTTCCAAGGGAGGGAATGCGCAAGCCCTGCCCCCTCCCAGGCACGTGCCCAGCCCCCACCAGGATGTGCTCCGGTAAGGTACGGCAGCCCTTAGGTTCTCAAAGAGGCTGGGATTCTCGGAATTTATTCAGGGAAATTTTCTTGATTCATCTCAATCTGACTACAGGAGGATAATTACAAAAATGAATTTTTTTCTCCTTTATAACTAACATTAGAGAAATTTTTAGAGCTGGGGGTGCGGTTCAGTGGTAGAGCATCGGCCTAGGACGTGAGGCTCTGGGTTGCAACCCAGCACTGTGGAGGGGTCAGTTTGAGAAAGGCTTTGTTTTCAGGAACCCATGCACGTGTACATCAGGTGAGGGAGGCCCTAGGTATTCCAGACACCCAAGATCAATAAAAGCCCACTGAGTATCCAGCTCCCGGGATAGGCCACCATCCTCGAAAGAAAACAGCAAGCTGGGAAGCCTCCCGCAACAGACATCCTGAGGGTACGACCGTCGGTCCCCAAGAGAGTGCAAGACGCAAGAACCTGGATGTGAGTTTTGCACTTTACAAAGAAATCGAGGCTGAGCTCAAGAGCGTTCCGGGAGCCCGCGGGAAGACCCGAGCCAGCTCGGTGGGCGGAGCTGGAGGCGCGTGAGCTAGCCGGGTCCACCTGCCTCCCACGGCCCGACCCGGTCCGACACTCACGATCTCGGCCACAATCAGGAGTCCCGGCACGGTGCGGAGGAACTCTCGGTCGTAGGCGAAGCTGCTGCTGGTGGTGGAGAAGTTCTCTGCGAAGGAGCTGGCGGTGGTGGTGACCGTGTGCGAGCGCGCGCGCTGCGATTCTTCCATCGTCGCGCTCGGAGCTGGTCCGGGTCCCCGGGGACCCTACCCCCACCCAGCGAGCTCCCTGGGCCCAGGGTCGCCGGCCAGGGACGAGGAATCGCAGCCGGCGGGTGGCGGGCGCGCCGGGGTGGTCTCCGGGGTCAGGCCCGCGAGTGTCCCCACTCGTCGGCGCGCGCGCTCCGGAGCTCCGCGGGGACCCGGCAGCGGGATCGCTGGCAACCGGTGGCTGCGGGAGGCGGGGGAGGGGAGGGGAGGGGAGGGGCGTAGACGGGGCGGTGGGGGGCGGGCACTCGGGGACCTCCCCGCGGGGGCGCCGCCGCGCGGCCATTGCACCTGTCGCCCGGGGACTGAGAGCTCGTAGGGGTGCGGGGACGCGCAAGGGGAACGCTAAGAGTGAGCGGCACCTCCTGGTCGCACCCCTCCTCTCTCTGGCCACAACCAGGCTCCGCCCACCTAGGGCCACCAAGCTCAGACCTGCTTCCTCCCACCTGGCCGGACTGGCAGCAGGGCCTCTTAAGGAAACCCGGGCCTCTAGGGACGTGGCGGCTCCCGGACTCCGACAGCAAGGCGGATGGGGGAGGGAGGCTGTAATTGTGATCCAACCGGACCTTAGACCCGGGATCGATGCGAGGCTGCTAGGACAGTGGACAGTTCTCAGGCCCTCCGCTGCAGCCGCCAAAAGCCGGGTGCTGTTTCCTGTCCCTCCTGTCGGGAACAATTTGAGGAACTAACTTAATTGCTGGGCTGTGAGAACGAGACACTTTCAGGCGCTCTCCACAACTCTGGCGGGGACTAGCTGGAGCATAGAGCGGAAGATGGACGGAGAGACGTCCAGGGTTCCTGGTCAAGATGTATCATTGTGACTGTCCTCATTAGCCCTGGAGAGGGAAAAAACAAAACAAAACAAACAAACAAACAAACAAAAACCCAGCAACTTGTTTCAAACAAAGGGACCGTCTGTGCAAAGTGATGTTTATGACAAGCTAGCTGTGCTTTCCTGGGGTGAGCGGGGAGGAGGTGGGCATCTCACTGAGTGGCAGCGGTGTGCCCGGCAGGTGAATACTAAGCTGAGACCGCGGTGCTTGTGTAATTAGCATAAAGTTACTGGCTCTGCTTTGCTGGGCCTCAGCGGTGCCACCTGCGTTTCCAAACAAAACAAAGAACTTTGATGGATGATGGACCGCTGGCCAAAAAGAACCAGTTCTTGTGCCTGTCCTTCTGTTTTGTGAAGAGTGACAATAGACAATTTATCTGAACCCACCAAATGGGGAGGAAATAATCCAGTAAAATACAGTTTTGAATTCAAAGTGAAGGCATTAACAGGTTTAAAAGGTAGTCAGGTGTATTCTATCAGGAGAGCAAAAAAGAAAGCACAAATAGCAAGCTGATAGGAATTAGTTTAAACCTGGAGCCTCCCTAGGAAGAACTCTGGGATAAAGAGTCTCAAAGACAGGCCAACAATTCCAGGGTGGTGGCTCATACCTGTAATCCTAGCACTGGGGACCCGAGGCAGGAGGATGGCTGCAAGGTCAAAGCTAGCCTAAAGCTACAGTGTTTCAAACAAGAGTCTGAGCTACAAAGTGAGCTCAGTAAGAGCCTGGATACAGAGAGCCTATCTCAAAATAGATAGTTTGATGTCCTCCTGGGCTCCTCCACAAAGGGTTTGAGGCCAGGCTGAGCTACAGAGTGAGACCCAGTCTCCCCTCCCACCCCCAATTAGAAACAAACAAACAAACAACAAAAAAAACTGAAGCTCTTTTTTATTTGCTTTTTATTGTTTTGTTTTGAGACGGGGTTTCTCTGTGTAGACCAGGCTGGCCTCAAACTCCTGCCTCTGCCTCCAGAGTGCTGGGATTAACAGCGTGGGCCACCACCGCTAATACTGCTGGGGATGGAGAGACATGGTGTCTGGAGGAGTCTAAGATAGCATGTGAACACATAGTCGATACAGAAAGTCTTGACAATTTTATTTCCATAATACCAAGGACACTCTCTTTCTGAGATCCTTGGGCCAGATGGCTTTCAGAATTCTGGCTTTTCTTTAATTTAGGAAAATAAAATTAGTGGCTGGAGAGATGGCTCAGCCACCAAGAGCAAGTACTGCTCTTACAGAGGACCAGAGTTGGGTTTCCAGCGCCCATGTCAAGCAGCCTGTAACTACCCATAACTCCAGCTCCAGGGGATCCAATGTCCTCTTCTGGATTCCTTGGGCACCTGCATCTCTGTGGGTGTTCACGTAGACACAACACACATACATAAATCTTTGTTTTGTTTTGTTTTCCGAGACAGGGTTTCTCTGTATAGCCTTGGCTGTCCTGGAACTTGTTCTTGTAGACCAGGCTGGCCTTGAACTCAGAGATCTGCCTGTCTCTGCCTCCTGGGTGCTTGAATTAAAGACGAGCACCAGCACCACCCAGAACCATAAAAATAAATCTTAAACTGGACAGTGGTGGGTCAGGGCTTTGATCTCAGCACTAGGGAAGCAGAGGCAGGTGGATCTCCGAGTTCAAGGCCAGCCTGGTCTACATGAGTGAGTTCCAGGACAGCCAAGGCTACACAGAGAAATCCTGTCTCAATAAATAAAAACAAAAAAACAAAAAAATAAATCTTAAAAAAGTGCCGGGCGGTGGTGGCGCACGCCTTTAATCCCAGCACTCACGAGGCAGAGCCAGGCGGATCTCTGTGAGTTCGAGGCCAGCCTGGTCTACAAAGCGAGTTCCAGGAAAGGCGCAAAGCTACACAGAGAAACCCTGTCTCGAAAAACCAAAAAAAAAAAAAAATCTTAAAAAAGTAAAATAAATATATATGCCTTTTTCTTTGTGTGTGCATGTGTATGGAGTGTGTGCATTTATATGGGGTATATGAATGTTATGTAGAGTGTGAGGGTGTGCATGTGTATGCAGCCAGAAGAGGACATTCAGTGTTGTGCTCTGTTACTCTCTGCGTTATTCCCTTGAGACAGTGTCTCCCACTGATCCTGGAGTGAGGCTGGCATCCAGCAAACCTCAGGGATCCCCCAGAATCCACCTCTGACAGCACTGGAGTTAGAGACAAGTTTGTGGCCATACTCAGGTTTTTTTTGGTTTTTTGAGACAGGGTTTTTCTGTGTAGCTTTGCGCCTTTCCTGGAACTCACTTGGTAGCCCAGGCTGGCCTTGAACTCACAGAGATCTGCCTGGCTCTGCCCCCCGAGTGCTGGGATTAAAGGCGTGCGCCACCACCGCCCGGCTTATACCCAGCTATTTTATGAGTGCCGGGGATTTGAACTCAGGTCTTCAGGCTTATGCAGCAAGTTCTCCTCTCTACCAACCATCTCCCCAGGCCCAATAAATACACATATACAGCATATAACACAAATACCCTGAGCTAGGTCTTAATCAATTATACTAATTTTCTATAGTGGAAATATATGTGTGTGTGTGGGCTATTACTATGCAACAAATATTCTAAACATCAGTAGCTTAAAAATCACCATTTTAGTTGCTCAGGAAACTGTCGGCTATGAATTGCAGCTAGGCTTGGCATGGAGGATCTTCAGTTCCGTGTGGGTTTGGAAGCATGCTCTCAGCCAGGAACTGGCTGGGATGGGTAGTCCAAGAGGTGTCCCTCCGGTACACATTACAGCATTCTCACTCGGTTTGCATTGCCAGGAAGCTGGGCTCTTACAGCATGGTGGACTCAGGCTACCAAGAGGGCCAAAAGCAGTGTGTTAGTTATTTTTCTTGTTGCTTCAACAAAGTCCCTGACAAAAGAACTTGAGGGGAGGACTCACTGGCTCAGAGTTTGAAAAGGGGTACAGTTGCCATGACAGGAGAGGTATGGTGGCAGGAGTGTGAGGCAAGTGGTCATATTCAGTCGGCTTTCTCTTCTTTATTCTGTCCAGGTCCCCAGCCTGTGGAATAGCGCCACCCACGTTCAGGGTAAGTCTTCTCCACTTGGTTAGACCTCCCTGCAGACTCTTCTCACAGACACCCAGAGGTGTGTCTCCTAGGTGATTCTAAATCCAGTAAAATAACCTGAAGATGAACTCTCACAAGCAGGGACTTCAGGCCCAGACCCTCAGGGTACATACCATCTTCAAAACAAAACAAAACAAAACAAAACGAAACACACAGACAGCTTATTCTCCTGGCAAAGGCCAGCCCAGATTCCAATAGGAAAAACAAAGGTCACCTCTGCATGGAAGGAGCCTCACAGAGTTACGGCCATCTCCTAATCTACTAATGAGATAAACAAAGGTAATAAATAGCTTCAATCTGTTTCAACTAGATTTCCCGCCAACTACATTTTCTGCAAATTTAAGAAACTCTTCCCTGAGGACTTTATGTCAAACAGAACTTAGAGGTGAGATTGGAAGGAACACAAAATTGAAGAACTCAAAGATGGAAGAGACATCATTGGAGCCTGCCAGGTGGCTTGCTGGATTAAGGCATTTGCCACCAAGGCTGGGACACACAAAGTGGAAGGAGGGAACTGATCCTCTGACCCTCAAATACATGCTGTGGGACAGCCCTACCCCAAATATGAATACAAAGTTAAAACACCCAAGTGTGGTGGTTCACGTCTTTATTCCCATTCAGGAAACAGAGTGAGGCAGATTGATAAGAGTTCCAGGCTACCCTGGTCTACATAGCTACACAGTGAATTCCAGGCCAGCCAGAACTGCACAGTGAATCTCTGCCTCAGAACAAAACAATTCTAACTTCATCTGGGGCTAGAGAGACAGCTCAGTAGTTCAAAGTGTTTGCTGCTCTTGCAAAGAACTCTCAAGTTTGGCTCTCAACATCCATATCAGATGGCTCACAATGGCCAGTAACACCAGATCCAGGGGATCTGATGCCTCTGGCCTCCAAGGCTCCAACACTCACATACAATCCCACTCTCCCACATATATATAACTAAAAATTAAAACAAAATTTAAAATTTTAAATAAAAATTTTAAAATAAAGATGAACTTTCATACCAGCCTCCAGATAGGTACATCCTAATTGGCTCAAGGGCCAGGGTGAACTGGTCAAGAGCAGTAATGTGCCAAGGGATCCCAGGGGATTAGTTCACATGGGATGTATAGTCATGGACTAGTTGCAAGGCCATATTATCCAATAAGCAAATAGGACACAGCCCTCTCATGGGTTCAGAGTGCCTGAAAGTCAACAGTAATTTAAATAATTTAGTGGACATTTTGAGGCTTCTGCCTGCTACCTAAGAAAAGACCATGGCACAGTCTCTTTTTTTTTTTTTTTTAATAAGGTTGTCTTCATAGGTTTACCTATCATTTATTTCTCTTAATTATTCTATTGTTTTAAATTAAGTGTGGCTATTTCAGGAAAGAATCATGGATGGATGGATGGTAGGATTAGTGAGTGCAAGTAGGATGAGAAAAAGACCATTTATATCATCTTAAAGACTCCCCAGAAAATGCCATCCCCCTTGACTTTTATAACCTTGCAGGATAGAAGCCTATGAACCTCCTGATATGATGTACTAAGCAGAATACAACTCGCTCCTGTGGTATTCCCATCCAAGTGTGTTCTGGGTTTAGTCATGAGAACAGATCAGGGCAAAGCTGGGAGTGTTGGCACACACTTGTAATCCCAGAGTTGGAGAGGTAGAGGCAGGCACTAGAGTCCGCTGGTCAGCCAGTCCGGCTACATGGTGAGTTCCAGGCTGGTGAGACGTTCTATGCACGGTGATTGGGTGTGCGATGGATTGGGGCTGGAGAGATGGCTCAGTGGGCAAGAGAACATGCTGCTCTTTTGCTCTCACAGAGGACCCAGATTTGATTCTCAGCACCCACATGAAGGCTCACAACCACCTGTAAATCTAGCCCCAGAGGATCCAGCCCCTCTTCTGGCCTTCACAGACTGTTGCAGAGGTGTTGTCCATGTAAACTCATTCAGGCAAACATATACATAAATAAAATGAAGTAAATAAGGCTTTTTTTTTCCCTTGGTTTTTCGAGACAGGGTTTCTCTGTGTAGTTTTGGTGCTTGTGCTGGCTCTCCCTCTGTAGACCAGGCTGGCCTCGAACTCAAAGAGATCCATCTGGCTCTGCCTCCCGATTGCCTCCACATGCATATTCACACACACACACACACACACACACACACACACACACACACACACACACACAAACTAACTAACTACTAGGTCTATCTGTAAAAGAAATGAAGTCAGTATATCAGAGAAACATTTATTGCAGCACCATTCACAACAGCTAAGAGCTGAAAACAGCCTAAGTGCCCATCAAGAGACAGACGGGAAATGTGCTGTATATACACAATGGGATATTATTTGGCAGAAGGAGGAGTGAAATTCTATCATTTGCAGTAGCATAGGTGGCACTGGAGGTGCATTAAGTGAAATAAGTCAGACACAGAAAGACAAATACTACATCTTCTCACTCAGTGTGGAAGTTAAACAGAGGATCTCAGGGAAGCAGAGAAAGTAGCAGTTGTTACCAAAGCCAGAGAAAGGTGTGGGGAGGGAGGGGTGGAGAGAAGATGTCTGACTGCGTGGTACAGCTGGCCGGGAGGAATAGTGTGATTGACAATAATTAATTGAATATATTCAAGGAGCTAGGGGAGAGGATTTTTGGGGTTTCCCATCAAAGAAATAATGAACGTCCAAGGTGATAGAAGCTAGTCACCTTGATCTGGTCATCAAACATCATGTATATGTGTTGAATGCCATACTGCAATCCATAAATATTTATGATTACTATATGTTGGTAAAATAAAAATACAGCTTTAAATTTTTCCTGAGGTTGTAGGTATGGCTTAAGGCCTGGAGTTCAATCCCAAGCACCACATAAACAAACAAACAAACAAAAACTTAAAATTTCATTAAGGTCTTGGTCTCAAGAAGAAGATGGACTCCTCAAAGTTTGTTTGTGTTTTTGTTTTGTTTTGTTTTTTCATGGCAGGGTATCTCTGTGTGGCTTTGGCTGTCCTGGAACTCACTCAGTAGACCAGGCTGGCCTCAAACTCACAGAAATCCGCCTGCCTCTGCCTCCCAAGTGCTGGGATTAAAGGCATGTGCCACCACTGCCTTTATTTATTTATTTATTCATTTATTTATTTGTTTATTTTAAAAAACAGGATCTCACTATGAAGCCTTGGCTAGCCTGGAGCTCACTCTGTAGACCAGACTGACCTTGAACTCATAGAGCTCTGCCTGCCTCTGCCTCCTGAGGGCTACGACTAAAGGCGTGACAATCACGCCCAGCTTTCCCTAAAGTTTTTATCTGCATTCAGAGTCTCAAAATTTATTTACCTCTGGTGTGTCATTCACTGTTAGAACACACAGTTTGGAAAATAAGACACAGTCTCTTCCCTGAAGGAATATATCATCAAGAGAATGAGATTCAGCAGGGATTGCTGGTACCCCACTAGGCTACAAATGGGCCAAGACCAACTTTGCCCAGGAGGAGGGTAGCAAGATCAGCCTGGGCTAGGGCAGTTTCTTCAGGGAGCAAATATTTACATTGTTTTCAAGGGTTGTTCAGATTCAACTAAGCAAAGAATGACAGGCTAGAGGAGGAAATTATAGAAGAGACACAGTCCTTCAAACAGAAAGCTCTAGACTAGCATTTCTGCTGATACAGCTGGAGGGAAACGCCTTCCATGTGGAAATCAGTGAGCCTCCTTCCCTGCTCCTCCTCTTCAATAGACATTAATTGAACTCTTCAGCTAAGAGGAAGGGTTGAAGACAGCCCTTGGCGAACATTCTACTATTTGAGATAGGGAAGGGGATTTGGGAAGAGACTCAATGGCAGAGCACCTGCCTAGCATGTCGAAGTCCTAGGTTCAGTTCCTAGCCCTGGACATGGTGTCATACACTTACAATCCCATCACTTAGGAAGCAGCAGAGGCAGGACAGAGAGGGCATCCTTGGCTACCCAAAAAGACCCTGCATGTGCCACACAGGATAGCCACAGTTTACAATCTTTTTAGGGAGTAAAATGCTCAAGTCTCTCAAATGCTCTGCACACTTGCTACTTTTGTTCAGCAGTTAGTTACACAAGCCAGCAGAAAATTAAACTCGATATACACATAGATCATATATACATTTTAGGTAAGTGAAGGGAGGGTACTGGTTGGGTTTTCCCAGCAGGAGGCTTAGAACACCCTCATGCAGGGTTGCAGAGCAGATATTAATGGAGATGTGTTGAGGGAAGGTCAGTTTTGCTGGTACACGTCTTGCAAGGGCCTACCAATCCAACAAGGAAGCAGGACAGTCACAAGCAGAGGGTAACTCATGGGTCAACCCTGTCTCCCAGTGAGGTCCAAGAGAGAAAGACCCTGGTTTCCATAAAGAGGCCAGTTAACTTGGCAAGAGCCGCAGTAGACGCTCCCTAGAACAGTGCAGGGTGTTCCACAGGACAGAGCCGGAAGTTCACAGAACTGAAAGTGTAGCCAGAGAACACAGCCGGAAGTTCACAGAACGTGGCCGGAAGTTTCTCAGAACGCCAGAGAACACAGCCGGAAGTTCACGAACTCAAGGTGTAGCCAGAGAACACAGATGGAAGTTCGCAGCACCTAAGGTGTAGCCAGAGAACACAGCCGGAAGTTCACAGAACACATCCAGAAGTTTCTCAGAACGCCAGAGAACACAGCCGGAGGTTCACAGAACGCATCCAGAAGTTTCTCAGAACGCCAGAGAACACAGCCAGTCCACAGAACTCAAGGTGTAGCCAGAGAACACAGCCGGAAGTTCACAGAACACGGCTGGAAGTTTCTCAGAACACCAGAGAACGCACCCGGAAGTTCACAGCACCTAAGGTGTAGCCAGAGAACACAGCCGGAAGTTCACAGAACGCAGCCGGAAGTTTCTTAGAACGCCAGAGAATGCAGCCGGAAGTTCACAGAACTGAAGGTGTAGGAAGCACCATGGAACCAAGTAGGAGTGCCACAGAATGCAGTCGGAAGTTCCACAGAGCATCCCCTCACACCCCAGTGCCTCAGCATGCAACCAGAAGTCTCCACAGAATGCAGTCGGAAGTTCCACAGAGCATCCCCACACACCCCAGTGCCTCAGCATGCAACCAGAAGTCTCACACAACAAAACCAGAATCCCTATTGGATAAAGCTGGAAGGCTGCAGCTGCTTAAAACACCCTGTGCTTTTTGCTAGCGCCTTGCTGAACGTCTGTGGACCAGTCCTGAAAGCCCTGTTAGTGGCGCTGACAATTCTAAGTTCTCCGGGAGGAAGGGCTTGAAACAGCTTAACTGGCAGTCCTGATGCCAGCACCTTTCACTCATTAGTGCTCATTAGGCGCCCACGTTTGAATTCCTATCTGAGGTGTTGGGTGAACAGTGCTGCCCTCCCAATGCTGGCTGAGCAAGGACCTGCCCTCCCAGTGCTGACCACACCCAAGGAAGGGCCGAGATGCACCACTGTGCAATCAGAAGCACACCAAACGTCGGACAGGAGAATTAGAAGCAGCAATTATACTGGTCACGTGCCTCACCTGAAAGCTCTAGCCAAAGGAACTCTCAAACAAACAATTACAGAGTGTTTTTTTGCTTACCAAGGACTTCTGCTTTGGGAAGAATTAATTGGAGGGTTCTTTTGTGCCCTGGGCACCAACAAATATTTAGATGTTTGTTTATAAATGATGAACTGTTTGCAAAGAGGTGATGGACACCCCAGGAATTTAAAGTCGGCTAAGGTCCTTATCCAGACTCACCAGCAGGAAACAAACAAAACAGCAAAGGTGTATGAAAGTACATTTATGCGTTCTTGAAGAGTTCCCAGCAAACAGGAGGTAAACTACATTCTAGGATTGTTTCAGTATTTCTGTTGTCTGTGTGTTTGTAAAACAAAGAATCACTCCTGTGTGTGTGTGTGTGTGTGTGTGTGTGTGTGTGTGTGTGTGTTGCACATGCATGTGAAGTGCAAAGGACAGCCTTGGATCCTTTGCCTCAGATGTCTTCTGATTGCCGTTTGAGACAGGGTTTCTCATTGGAGTTTTGCTAAGCTAAGCTGGTCAGCTAGCCAGTGAGCTTCCAGGGATCGCCCTGCCTCTACCTCCCATCTTGGTATGACAGGTGCATGCTGCCACATCTGGCTTTTTACCCGGGCTCTGAGGATCTGAACTCAGGGCTTCACACTTGCCTGGCAAGCACTTACTGACTAAGCCATCTCCCCAGCCCCCCAACCTTCAAAACCCCCCTTTTGCTTAGAGGCAGCTAACTGTTCCTTCAGCCCCTGATCTCCACACGGCTGCTGTATTGGGAAGTGGGAGAGGATCTGGACCTGACTTGTAAGGCCCTGTTCTGGTTGCCTGAGCTGAAATTAGACGAATTATTGGGTGACGAGCAGCTGGAGTTCATCCCCTTCGTTTACCTGGAGTGTGTGTAGCCAGAGGACCCGTTAGATCCCGGCACGGTCAGGGTGCAGACACAGAGAGCAGGGACACCCCTGGATGGCTGTGCTTTTCAAAGTGGTGTACTAACGTCCCGTTTCTGGGGGGGGAAGAGAGGCTGACAGAGAAGAGCTGATGAGACCGTGCCCAGTGACTGGCAGATAGTAATCGTTCAACAGGACCCGGGAGAGGCCAGGATGGAGAGGCCAGGATGGAGAGAAATATGCCTTCTACAAAACCAGAGGCTGTGGCGTCTCTGCATGGTTTCCTAGATGATTGAGCTGGAGCTTCACACGTGACTTTTTATTTATCTCCATCTCTAGAAATGGTTTGCTGCATAACACAGGGAGCATGGGTACATTGTGTGAGGCAAAGTATAGAGGATCTTTTGGGTTATCTTATTCCCTGTATGTAGCAAAAATCTAGTTTCCTCCTGGTCCACTCCTCCCTCCTTCAAGATTTTTTTTTTTTTCAGGGTCTCATGTAGCCCAGACAGCCTCCAATTCACTATGCTGTAGAGGATGACCTTGAACTTTTGATCCTCCTGCCTCTCTCCTGAATGCTGAGATAGAATAGGAGGGAAAGGAAACATATCTATACACATAATTTTATCTAACCTTCAGAGAAATTCTGCAAAGTGGGTGTGGTCAACCCATATCTGCATTGTGGAATCCGGAGGCTCAGAGTGGTTCAGTCATTTGCCCAAGATTGCATCACAGGCAAGGTGGACAGACTGGATCTCAACACTTCTCTGGAGATCTCTTTTTCATCAACACCTCCTGTAGAAGGTGACTCATTCACGAGAGGCATTTCTACAACATCTGTGTCATGATTCATAGCCTTTTTATTACTCTTCTGACAATCTGGCCAGCTTGGTACTCCTTGTTCCATTTCATAGACAAGAAAACAAGCAATTTTGCTCCCAAAGTCAGCACACAGCCTAAACCCACAAGTTATAGGAACTCAAGGCTTCTGATTCCTCTGCAAAGAGAACTGGTCTGCAACCTTCTTCAAATTGAAAATTTTAAAAAAAATGACTTTTCTCTACATGAATTGTAGAGGAGAAGGGGAAGGCTGTGTGTTGCTGGGGACACAGAATGCTTTGTGTGACCTGGCTTTGAGAGTTGTTTGTTTGTTTTTTTTTTTTCCTCAGCAGCTTGACTCGAAACTCTTTATGTAGCTGATGGTGACCTTGAAGTCCTGATCCCCCTCTCCACTCACAAGTGCTGGATCACAGTGTGTACCACAATTCTTGGTTTGTGCAGGGCCAGGGAGCAAACCCAGGGCCTCATCTATGCTAGGCAAATACTCTACCAACTGAGCTACATCTCTACCTCCTGGGTTGGCTTTTTAGAGGTATGTTGACATTCCAGGTTGCAGGTGACAGTCACATGAGGACCGCAGCCTGTAAGTTTCTCATCCTCTTCTAGAAACAAAGACCAAGTTCTCATAAGCCTGTTACTCATAGCCTCAAGGGGGAGACTGGAGTACTCCCAAGTCCTCTCTTCACTTGCTTCCTGTAGGAGACTGGCTTTCTCTGCCTCTGATCTCTGGGAAAATGGTGGTCAGCTGTTTTCTGGGGCTGATGAAGACAGTTAGATTGACCTAGAATTTGCATCTTAGGCCTCAGTTTTCTGAGAGAGGGCCCAGTGTTTTGGCTTTGGCCTCATGCCTGTCCCTCATCGATCAACAGTGGCTGGTACTCTGTATCCCTGTGGGTGAGAGAACAAAAGAACAGATATCTTAGGACTAGGGTCCTCACCCCTAGCTGCATGTGAGTGTCACCTGAGGAACTTCAAAACGATCCAAGTCCAAGCCATCCCCATATACTTGTTCCTTTTAAAGTTTTATTTATTTTATCTCAGTGTGGTAGCACATGCCTTCAATCCTAGCACCCAGGAGGCAGAGGCAGGCAGATCTCTGTGAGTTCTAGACCAGGCTGGTCTACAGTGAATTCTTCGGCAGCTAGGACACATACACATATGCAGGCAAAACACTCACACATAAAATTCTAAAAAATAAGGTTAAAAAAAGATTTTTCTCTTTTATTCTCAACATGGATTATACCCTAGTGTGTGTGTGTGTGTGTTTGGTGTGCATGCACATGAATGTGCATGTGGAGGCCAGAGAACCGTTTTGGCTGTTCTTTCTCAGGCACCATCCACCTTGCTGTCTTCTCTCACTGGCCTAGAGCTCACCAAGGATGCTAGGCTGGCTGGCCAGGGAGCTCCAAGGATCTCCCTAGCACAGGGATTACAGCCTCTCGACACCATGCCTGTCTTTTTATGTGGCGTCTAGGAATCGAACTTGGGTCCTCATGCTTGCAAGGCAATCACTTTACCAGCCAAGCTATCATTAAGGTTTCTTTCTCTTAAAAAAAAAAAATGTATTGTGCCAGGCAGTGATGACGAACACCTTTATCCCAGCACTCAGGAGGTAGGGGCAGATGGATCTCTATGAGTTCAAGGCCAGCCTGATCTATGATCTACAAAGTGAGTTCCAGGACACCTAGGGCTGTTACACAGAGAAACCCCATCTCGAACACCCCCCACCCCTGCCCACCCAAACAAAACGAAAGTATTGTTAGTGTGTGTATAAGAAAGAGACAGAGAAAAAAAAAAAAAAAAGCTGGGCGGTGGTGGCGCACGCCTTTAAACCCAGCACTCAGGAGGCAGAGCCAGGCGGATCTCTGTGAGTTCGAGGCCAGCCTGGTCTACAGAGTGAGTTCCAGGAAAGGTGCAAAGCTACACAGAGAAACTCTGTCTCGAAAAAAACCAAAAAAAAAAAAAAAAGAGACAGAGACAGTGAGGTATCTGGGGATGCCACAGCAGGCATGTGGAGGTCAGAGGACAACTTTGTGGAATGGGTGTGGTGATATTTTATTTGTGCTCTAACAAATAAAGCTTGCCTGGGGATCAGAGGAAAAAAGTCAGCCACTATATTAAACATAGAGGACAGGCAGTGGTAGCACATCCGGTAGATCCATCCGGATCTCTCTGAGTTCAAGACCACACTGGGAACAGAGCCAGGCCTTGTGGCACACGCCTTTAATCCCAGCAATAATCATAGTAGTCAGGAGGTCTGTACAGACAGACAGGAAGTGACAGAGCTGGGCAGAAAGAGGAAGTGATGTAGCTGGGCGGAGAGAGGAAGTAAGATGGCAGGGCACAGAAAGGTATAGAGGCGTGAGTATACAGGAAGTAGGTCTCTCTTGGGCTCAGGGTTCCCTATCGGTAAGAACTTGTAGCTGGCTGGCTGGCTTGTTCTATTCCTCTGATCTGTCAGCTTTCACCCCAATATATGGCTCCGGGTTTTTTTTTTATTAATAAGACTGTTTAGCAATTCGTGTTCCAAATGGGTTCTCTATTTCCACCTTATGTGGGTTCCAGGGATCAAGCTTGGGTCACGAGGCTTGCTTGGCAAGCACTTCCTGGCTCTGTGCCATCTCTCCAGCCCCAGGAGGCTTTTCTCAAATATGCAGGCAGCTCCCACTTGCAGAGACTAGCTTAATTGGGGTGGAGTATAATTGGGAGATTGGGCTTTTGAGGAGCTCCCACGTTGACTGTAATAGCAGAATGTAATAGAAGTATTTGAGAGCCCTGGCATGAAGGGTCTACCTCTCCCTTCAATTCCACCCAGTGCCTCTATTTCCCACCTCCCACCCTTTTTCCCAAACCAGGAGAGTCAATACTGAAAATCCCAATTCTGTTTAGCTAGTGAATTCCAAGAAAGCAATTACACTGTTGTACAATTTGATTGAAGCTTAAGGAAGGTAAATAGCTCCAGGCAAAAATGCAACCTAAAGAGTCTCCTTGAATCTTTACAAGCATGCATATGCCTCTTTCTCTGCCCCTTCCAGCCTACCCCTAGATATGGGGTTGTATTTTCTGTCTTCACAGCCACTTTTCTGAGCAGATGAAAGAAAAATTACCAGGGTTTGTGATGCTGGCCTTGCTGTCCATTTGTTATTGATTTGACGTCTCAGCCCACAGAGGTTTTCAATTTGGCTTACGTTTCAGCCTCCTGGCTGCTCAGTTATGCACTGCCCCGCCTCGTGAGGAGCTAAGTTGACGGGTGCTCTCCAGCTCTGTAGCCATCTAGACTGAGCTCCTCTTCTCTCCCTGGATAGCATCTGAAGAAATGATAGAAGGCTGCTGTATGACAGTTGTCCTTTGGGGGCAGGTAGCCCTTGCTGGGGGAGGAGACCCCTCAAAATTAGTTATCTAGGAAGGGAGTCAGTGCTCTCCCCTTGTATCTATCATCATATGAGGGCTGGCTTTCCAGTCACCGCCCCCCAATCCCCTCCCTTTCCCTTTCTAGGGAAAGAATCCCATCTTCTAACCATGGCCTGTAGCAGATGTTGAAAGGGACACCCAGAGCCACCAGGGACTTTGGAGCTGTGGTTGTGTCAGACAAGATGGAACTGAACCAGGACTTGCCATCCGCTTCCCCATCCCTGGAACAGCAACACTCAGCCCAGCTTCTCAGCTCCTGCTGAACCATGGCCTGAGGCTGAGGAAAGAATGCACGTGTCGAGGGTGCCATTTCCACCACAGAGGGTCACGGTGGGAGGGTGAGTTTGAATCTCTCTCTTGGTCCACTCTGGGTCCCAATAGGTTCCAGGCAGTGTGTGTAGACTCACCTCCCTTTGCCATCCTGATTGATAGAGAAGGAAGCCCAGCCCAATGTTAAGGAGACACAGTTGGCCAAAACAAATTGTTTTAGGCCGAACACATACATTTTCCTTTGTTGATGCCTCAATGCTGGTGAGCCTGTCACCCGGACCACCCTTCCTCCATGCTGGTGGGTCTGTCACCTGGACCACCCTCCCTCCATGCTGGTGGGCCTGTCACCCGGACCACCCTCCCTCCATGCTGGTGAGCCTGTCACCTGGACCACCCTCCCTTCATGCTGGTGAGCCTGTCACCTGGACCACCCTCCCTTCATGCTGTTGGGCCTGTCACCCAGACCACCCTCCTTCCATGCTGGTGGTTCTGTCACCCGGACCACCCTCCCTCCCGGTCTTTGCAAACACTCTTACTCTTGCTGTCAGCCCCAAGTGAAGCCTGAGTTCTCTGTGAGTCCTCCCTACTAAACTTAGTCTTTGGCGGGGTATGTATGAGTGCCTGCTGTGCAAGCAGAAGGACCTGAGTTCAGATCCCCATCACCCATGAGAAAGCAGGCATTGCCTGGGCATCTGTAATCTCAGCTCTCTGGTGATGGAAACAGGAGGACCTGGAGGAAATGTCAAGGTCCAGGTTCAGTAAGAGGCCTTGTCTCAGTGAGAATGAGGTAGAGTGATAAAAGAAGATACCTGGCATCGTCTCTGGCCTCCATACACATACGCACGTGCACATAAGCCATATAAGCCCCCCCCCCCCCCACACACAGAATTGAAATCCTTTAAGCCATCTTCCCGCCCCCCCCCCCCCCGCCCCCCCGCGCCCCCCCCCCCAGGGTTTCTCTGTGTAGCCCGGGCTGTCCTGGAACTTGCTCTCTAGACCAGGCTGCCTCTGCCTCCCTCATGCTAGGATTAAAGGAGCATGCCACCACCACCCAGCCCCTTAAGCCATTATTATACCATGCACAATGCTCTAGTTTTGAAATGATCTTCTAGAATTGAGCTTTGGTGATCATTCTTATGAGTGTTTAAGGTCAGAGACTCCATTCCTCTAGAGACTAGGGAAAGGGCTTTACACACAGCTGGCACCCAGTACGTGGGCATGAGTGGGTGTGTCCCCAGTAGAAATGGCTGAGAGGGTGTATGAATGCTCTAATTAGAGTCTGGGGTGGAGGGGGCAGCTCTTATATCAAAGGGGATAAAGGGTAGTTTATCCTGGAGCCAAATATGAGTGACCAAGGCCCAGGAACACAGAACTAGGTTACCTCAAAGAAGTTTCGTGGAGTTTTAGTAGCAGATCAAAGAAAGTCATAAATTAGGGCCATTTGAAAATACATTTGGTGGGTACATCAGAGAAGCAGGGTACATCTGGCAGATGGCTCAGATGCTGTCTGATAGCATCCTTGGCCCTTCTAATGGCAGAGAAGAGGGTTTTGGTAATATGTTCCAAAGGTTTTTAATCTGTTTACCAAGATGTTACATCTGTCACATAGATAGGCAAGGAAAGGCTCTTTGGCTGGGGAGGAGGCCAATGATAGCCCAACAGAAATTGTGACTAGGTTCCCAGACCCTGTAACATTCTAAACTCTACATTCATTGAAGTTTTCTCAGTCTATCAGCCTCCGTGCATACAGCTTCTTTATAGGAATGTTTTTTCACACCAGTAACTAGCCACTAAGTAGAGGTATGCATCAGTATTTGGTCAGTTCTAAATTTTCCTGCATTTTATTTAGTTGGGTTTTGTTAAGACAGGGTTTCATGTAATGGGTCTTTCTTGGACTGCCAGCTCTTGAATACTGACACGGCAACTTCTTATTAAGTATGAAAGCTTGGCCTTAGCTTAGGCTTGTTCCCAACTAGCCCTTAAAACTTAAATTAACCTGTTTATATTAATCTACATTCTGCCATATGACTCATTTCCTCTCCTCAGTACCATATGTCTGACTTCCTCTGCATCTGGCTGGTGAATCTCCAAACCTCAGATTTTTTCCCAGCATTCCTATCTCTGCTTGGAAGTCCCCCATCCTCTCCTGTTTAGCTATTGGCTGTTCAGCTCTTTGTTAAACCAGTCAGAAGGTGCCTTAGACAGGTGAGGTAAAACAGAGACACATCTCACAGTGTACAAAAAGATTATCCCAACATCTTCCCCTTTTAGTCCAATAAAAGACTCTTTCTCTAACATCAATACAATAAGAAAAATTATCGGGTAAGAATTATATTCACAATGTACAGTCTATTTGTATTTGGCAACTTTGGAGAAATTACTTTATTATCCTATCTTGGTGAGTCCAACGTTTTGTACCTAAACCAATTTCTATCATAACTTTTTTTTTTGGTTTTTCGATACAGGGTTTCTCTGTGTAGCTTTGTGCCTTTCCTGGATCTCACTCTGTAGACCAGGCTGGCCTCAAACTCACAAAGATCCACCTGCCTCTGCCTCCCAAGTGCTGGGATTAAAGGCGTGCGCCACCACCGCCTTCTATTACCAACCTAAAATATCATTTTATACATTAAAACATTTTCTTCGATAAACAAGCTTTTATGTCTCTCAAGCTTTATAAACTTTACATCTCTTTTGTGAGTTTCTATTCTGAATTTGGTAATAAGGAAAACTATAAAACTGTAACTATCTAGTCTTCAACTCCATCAGAGACCTGAGAAGGATAAAATATTACCTGAGTAAACAGGAAGTGCAGAGCAAGCAACTTTCAAAACTATAGAAATGACAGAGACAGATGGCTGTCTAGGAAGTCACCCAAGGTTCCTCTGCAATGTTGGGGCATCCATCTTCAGCTTACAAGCCTAGAATATCTGACAGACTTTTTTGTGAAGCAGGAATTTTGAAGGACTGTCCTACCTTGTCTTGGCAAAGTTCAGCAGTCACCTTCTTTTGTGTCCTGCTTGTCTAATTTGGACAGCATACTGTTAGCAGTTGAGGCAAGGGCAGTTTCTTGCCCAGTGGCTAACTTTGCCACAATGAAAGCAAACTCCATATGCAGGTTCTTAAGTGCCCATCATCATCTTTGAAGTAGATTGGTGCTGCCAGGAGCAGATGTGTCTCATTATTATGTTTAACCTTGAAAACATACCTAACATGACTACAAGTTTCATTGTTATAGATTACTAACTACTAACTTGCATTTCTTAATTATCCTAAACAGTTTATAATAGTAGCTTTCAAGGACTAGAACTTTACATTACTTTTTTTTTTTTTTTTTTTTTTTTTTTGGTTTTTCGAGACAGGGTTTCTCTGTGTAGCTTTGCGCCTTTCCTGGAACTCACTTGGTAGCCCAGGCTGGCCTTGAACTCACAGAGATCCGCCTGGCTCTGCCTCCCGAGTGCTGGGATTAAAGGCGTGCGCCACGACCGCCCGGCTACATTACTTTTTTAAATGACCTCAATAGGTACAATATCTTAAACAAGGGTAGAAACATATAATACAGTATAATAAAAATAACCTTAAATTTGTATCAATATGCAAAAATGCATACCAATGTAAAATACTTGAGATGAGTAGTTGCTTTTTAGTTTAGAAGTAGATTCAATAATCTACCCTTTTATCCTACCATTCCTAAATCCCCCCTTTTTTCTGCCTCCCTTTTTTCCCCAACACTAGATAGGAGAGAAAGAAGGATAGAGGAAACAAAAAGAAAGAAATTCCTGAATCTAACCTCCTTTGTTTAGTTTTTTTTTCCCTGACCATGAACAATAATAATTTTCAATCAACCCCCCTAAATGATGACAAACATCCAGAACCCACCAAGTGACCAAAAGCCACCCACCCCATCTCTTGGGAATGTGGGCATTGTGATCTTAAAATTGCTTCCTGTTGTCTGGGGGGTGACAGCATCTTTATGGGACCCTGAGAAAATTTGGATAACGGTCAAGTCCTGGGAGAGCTGGCTGTGTCATTTGTTGTCCAGTCTCTGTGTGATGGGAAAGGGCAGGGTTTACCTGTAGTCCTGGCTGGAGTAGTCTGTGAGGCTGGATCATCTTAGCTAGCCACTTTGAAGTTGCCCTGCATGCAGATTTTTGAGGAAACAATGGAGGCATTCTGAGATGTTGGATCATCTGGGCTGCTTGTCCTGCATTCATTGGTGTCTGGTCCTTTTGTTCTGAAAACATGCAAACTTTTAAAGGTAATATACATATACATTAACACAAATATGGAGTGTGTGGTGTGCACTGAATAGCTCAAGATGATTTTCTGTTCTATGTTTGTGCAGGTAAAAGGCATCTGTCAACTTTATAAGTCCATTTGGACTGCATAGCCAAATTAAACTGTCATGAGGACGCTGTAGCCAACAAAATTTATGTCTCATCCAGTCACAGAACTGTTCCCATGTAGACGGATCAGCATATACGTCATTTGTCTTGTAGTTTTTCTTGGTTTCTTCCTTCATGTCTGCAGCCAAGATGTTCAAATCTGATCTTTATTAATTTTGAAGGAAATTAATAAAAACCTCATCCCCAACAAAACACATATCCTGGTTTCCATCTGAGGTCAACACATCTTTAAAATATACAGGCTGATTCAATTCAGCAGTTTTTTTCTACTCTCCTCAGCTGTTGTCTTTTGTTCATTAGCATTTTTAAAAATTTAAAGTTAATAAAGCACTATATAGGGCCCTGTGTTATGGTATTTCCCACCTTTACATGGCTTATTCTTTTTATATTTCTTTACTCTCTCTTTAATGACTTCATTTGATTATTTTCTTTTTTTTTTTTTTTTTTTTTTTTTTTTGTTTTTCGAGACAGGGTTTCTCTGTGTAGCTTTGCGCCTTTCCTGGAACTCACTCGGTAGCCCAGGCTGGCCTCGAACTCACAGAGATCCGC